GTGAGAAGTATAGCAGCATAGTACTATCTGATGTGTGTGGGGTTCCCGTATATGATGACGTTCTTTAATAGTCGATGTGTCTCTATTATTTCTGCATGATTTTATGAATTCAAGAGATTGGTCTATTGTATTGAAGGCCCAAAACAATGGAGTTGGATTAGGTTTCGGAAGCATGCTACCCTTAATGGGTGAAGATATATTGGCTATATTTGAGAACCATGTAGATATTGGTCCTTAATTGATCTTCTCTGCTTTTGTATGGAATTCGTTCTATGAATTTTTGACTGTAGAGTTGAAACAAAAGAGTTGTTTGACCGATCTCATATTCTGTCTATATACAGTAGATGAAGTGCTGTTGTTTTTGGAATGCTGGTATGTAATTCTATCGAGAGATATACATCACTATTCTCAAAAGGGCATTCTGTAGGGCAAATATCGATGTGGTATTTATGTGAGAGTAAGGCTGCTTCAGTGATCCATGAGGATTTGAATAAATGGGATTTGCATAGGGGACATTCCCAGATGGCTGAGCTGGCTTAAATTGAGTGGATTTCTTTTTTGATAAATGGAAAAGTGATTGGGCTTGCTAAGGTCGTGACCAGGAGCTTTATAAGAGTTTGACTTTTGCGATCACTCAATGAAGTGAGATTCAAGCCAGCTTAAGAATAGACCATCTTATTGATAATGGTGTGTTCAACACCTAGTTTTGTTTTAATTGCTTTGTTTGTTGTCACTTTTAGTTTATTGAGATCACTTTTTTTTAGTGGAATTATTTGCAGGACATACTCAAGTTGAGCTGGAATGATCCATTGTGAGACCTGCTTGGTGATAGAGCCATTCTATCACTTTTGTTGGGATATGCATTCAGCGAATTTACTTGTTTTATCTAGTAAGTTTCTCTTCATGGCCATGTTTGGAGACTTTTCAGATAAGTATATGCCTAAGTATTTAATTGGTTGATTGAAAGATTTTGGTATGATGTGTATGCCTTCTACTATTAAGCTTTGTTTTCTTTCTAATCCTAAAGAACTTTGAAATGGAGAAGGAATGGGTCTCTGAATACAATTCAAAACAAACCATACAAACTGACTTATACAATAATTTGATAGAGAAAATCACACTAGAAGAACTCATGTCAACAATTGCAACATTTCATAAAAACAAGGCCCCCCGGTCCCACAAAAATTCCTTATGAATTATGGAAACGTATAATTTCAAATACACAAAAAACAGTTATAAATCTCTTCAATGACATTTTGTCCAATAGTTACCCTTCTAGACATTGGAAAAGCTCTATTATTACACTTCTACCTAAGAAGCTTATATGGTCTCATAGTTTAAGTGACACATGCCCCATCGCCCTTATAGAAACAAGCAGAAAGATTTTTATAAAAATTTTAAACACTCGACTATTAAACATCATTTTGAACAATAATATTCTTTCATAATCCAATTTTGCCGGTACAAAAAACCAAAGTACTTTGAAACCTATAGCTATCCTGAGATCCTTAATTAGCTCTTCATACAACTTTAACAAGAATTACTGGCTGGCATCATTTGATATCTCAAAAGCCTATGACTCAGTCAATTTAAAAAGTTTGGAACTAGCCCTTACCCGAATAAAGACTCCAACAAATTTCAACAACCTAATCTTAAACCTTCTAAAAAAACACTCGATCCAATTCATTGCACATTATAGCCTGACTCCCCAAATAGTGGTATCTCAAGGCTTAGATCAAGGTAAAACAATAGCTCCATTACTCTGAACAATATTTTATGATCCAGTCGTCTTCAGAATTCATAACACCCTACCACAGTCAGACAAAATTTTTGCATATATTGATGATATAGCAATATTCTCTCATTCCTTAGAACCACTATAGGTGATAACAGATATATTCACTTCATATCTAAAAATGAACCACATAATATATAACAAAACAAAAACTGACCTAATCACTAGCCACTCCATGAAAAGAGATAAAAGAAAACAAAGCTTAATAGTTGAAGGCACACACATCATATCAAAACCTTTCAATCAACCAATTAAATACTTAGGCATATACTTATCTGGAAAGTCTCCAGACATGGCCACGAAGAGAAACATACTAGATAAAACAAGTAAATTCACTGAATGCATATCCCAACAAAAGCAATGGAATGGCTCTATCACCAAGCAGGTCTCACAATGGATCATTCCAGCTCAACTTGAGTATGCCCTCCAAATAACCCCACTAAAAAAAAGTGATCTTAATAAACTACAAGTGACAATAAACAAAGCAATTAAAACAAAATTAGGTGTTGAACACACCATTACCAACAAGATGGTCTATTCTCAAGCTGGCTTGAATCTCACTTTATTGAGTGATCGCAAAGTTCAAACTCTTATCAAGCTCCTGGTCACAACCTTAGCAAGCCCAATCACTTTTCCATTTATCAAAAAAGAAATCCACTCAATCCAAGCCAGCTCAGCCATCTGAGAATGCCCCCTATGCAAACCCCATTTATTCAAATCCTCATGGATCACTGAAACAGCCTTATTCTCACATAAATACCATATCGATATTTGCCCTACGGAATGCCCTTTTGAGAATGGTAATACATATCTCTTGATAGGATTACATACTAGCATCCCAAAAACAACAGCACTTCATCTATATAGATAGAATATGAGATCGATCAAACAACTCTTTTGTTTCAACTCCATAATCAAAAATTCATAGAATGAATTCCACACAAAAGTGAGGAAGATCAATCCAAGATCAATACCTACATGGTTCTCAAATATAGCCAATATATCTCCACCCATTAAGGGTAGCATGCTCCCAAAATCTAATCCAACTCCATTGTTTTGGGCCTTCAATACAATAGACTAATCTCCTGAATTCATAAAATCATGCAAAAATAATAGAGACACATCAACTATTAAAGGATATCATCATATACTTGAACCTCACACACATCAGATACTACCATGCCGCTGCCCCTCTCAGCCATGCATAATTTTCTGACCTATAATTAAAGTGATATCACTATGGCATAAGAAAAAAAACAATTCCTTTCAACTGCTGAATAACTTAGAAGAAATCAAAGCTCAACTTTTGTCGACACAACCTGTTTCACTACCTTTTGTAATTATCTCACCTAATCAAGCTAAAATGACAAGTGCACCTAATAAGATAACTATAACTCAACATTCCCAACTCATCTGCCTGGAAAAATCATCAACTCGAACATTATTCTCCAATCTTTCTAATTCATCAAATAAAATCTGGACCATTTTGATAAATCAAATTGAAATGGCTGACTCGAATACAACTATCAAATGTCACCTTCCCATAAATCTATTGTCTCCCTTCCCCTCATATATAAACAAATAGATTAGAGTTCCTTATAGTCACTTTATTAATTATTTCCAAAATCTAGTCAAAACAAAAAAGATCACACTGGAGTTCTCAAAAGAAAAAAACTCAATTGAGTCATCAGCTAATAGTACAATCTCGTCACTTCCACCTATCAACTTTAATAACTATAATCCATCTCCACACATCAATAGCAAAATAGGTACCAGCATCATACATTGGATCAAATTCATTAACAATTCTTGCAATCTAATTGTAGCCACTTTTAGTACCGACATATTTCACAAACCCGAAACTATTGATGAACTTAAAATACTCAAATTAGCAAACAAGCAATTCTAGTCTGCTAACAAAACAAAATTCAGAACTTTAGCAACATTTTGAACAAAACTACTTCTTAACTCTTTATCCACAAGATTTAAACTCAACAAACGATATTCGTTACTCTACCCAAATACAAAATATCCTAGATATAAACATCTTACAGAGGATCAAACCCATGTTTTTACATGCAATGAAAACAATGAATATCTGAGTCCAAAAGCAAAAAAACTCAGCACTTTTTTTAAAGAATTAATCAACAAACAGTCAACAAAAAGTCCCTCAATATGCAACCTTAATAATCTCCACCAGTTTAATAACAGTGTCATATTATTTAAAATAGCATTAGGAGCCTCTAACCAATTCTCTAACCAACTCAACAAATCAAAACACAAAGCACAATTAGCCAACAAATCTCTTAAAATTCTCAACAAGATTTGGAAACAATGATCTGTCACAGCGAACACAGCTCCTCTTGATGAAATTAAATGGAAACCCACCAAGGCAATACCATCCACCTCCAACAGCAATAATAATAACTACAAAGATTTTCTTCTTGAACAAATAATACAGACATCAAACTACCATAACAATACTACCAATCTATCTATTTTTACTCCATCAATAATATCATCATTTTCGAATGAGCATTAGCCATTCAACCTTTGCATGATGCACCCAGTCAATGACTGATAGTTTGTCATGAAAAGCAAATCATAATAGGCTATAGTTAATTTACAATGTAAAGACTATTAATGTCAAGCTAATAAATTAAATTTCTAATAAAAGCCAGCATTTAATGCTCATTTGCGATAAAAAAAAAAAAAAAAAAAAAAACTTTGTCCATTTTATTGATTATATGTGTTACATTTACTCTTGTATATAAAGCAATTTAAACTTTTTCTATGCTTAGAGAAACAATAAAACCAATTAATACTATACTTATTGTGATGTATTGTTCTCGAAGGAGGTATTAACGTATCTAGGCTCCATTAGTGTGTATGGAGAGGATGTCGAAAATGCTTGAGAATCCTTGAATAATATTTTCTAATATGTCAATAACAATCTTCGTTAATTGTGTTTGTGTTAGTCCTTGGGAGTGGGATTGGGATTGTTTTCCCGTTGCTTTTTTTTCTTCTTTTTCTTTATTTTATCAGTGATGTCCTGTGCCTTTTCCCATGCTTGGAGGCACTTTCACTTGTCTCTTCAAATGTTATATGTAATAAAGTGGATATTATTTATATAGATTTGAATGGTTTCTGTGACCTTGTCTAGGCTTATGAACTTGCTAATCGTATTTATTATCTTTCTACTGATGACACCTTTTATTAGGAGGTTCCATAGATTGGACTCTTGGATATGCTCAGTAATTTCATCTTTTGTAGTATGTGGGCTTCCTTTTTCTATTCTCGCTGTGATCTCTTGATATATTGTTGAGGTAATTATTTCTTCAATTTCAATTTCATGGTGTGGATATCAGAAAGGATAAATATTGTCTTCTGTCGTGAAGTACGCAAAACATTGGGTTGAGATATATATCTCGGGTTTTCTTTTGTTTAGTTTATCCATAGTTGGGAGTTCAAAGTTCCAAAGTTTGATTGCGAATCTTCATTGGATGTGATCAAAGCTGTCTGTGTATATTTAAATAAATTTAGATAGGTGTAAGAGTTTTGTGAATAGTTTCCAGTTTATAGTATTTTGCTGGGGTGGAAGAATGTCACTATTTCTTTGATGATTTTTCCATTTGTATGTGAGTTTGACTTGTCTTATCTATTTTAAAAATTTGTGAATCAGGCTGGGTATCTCAATTCTTTTGTTGTATATGAAGGTTATCATTTTATCTTTTAAAGTAGTTAATTTTGTGATACCATCTATGGTAGTATTGTTTAGTGCTATCTTGGCTACCTCATTTGCTATATTGAGGACTGTGTTGATTTCCTGGTCTTTATCTATCTTATGCCAGTGGATTGTTTAATGTGAAGCTTGAATGATCAAGTATAGGTTGTAGATGATTCTGTATTCTGAGATGCTCTTGATTCTCTGGGCTTCTACACAAGAGATTTCTTTAATTAGTTTGGTGGAGTCTATATACACTTTGAGGGTGGTTCTTTGTGTGTACATGCTATGGCAACTGTTGCTGCGAGTAATTTGGCTCTAAAAGCTGATGCTTGTCTGTCGAGTTTCATATTGAATGTTTCCATAATGTCTCCAGTATCATTTTGTATAATGATGTCAATTCCTATTGATGTTGGTTGCTTAGTGTTGAAGGCTTCATCAGTTATTATATATATTTTTTTGTTTGTTTCTATCTTCTTGGATATGTTGATTAGTCTTTGTTTAACCAGGTTTGTTAGTTCCAAGAGTTCTGTCAGTCTCTTTATGGAAAGTGGTGTGCTATCTATTTGTATTGAGTCAAGTATATTATTAGATTTGTGTATCCATCTGCTGATACTGTTAGATAATATTTGTATTCTTAATTGTGTGTTTGATTCAGTAATATGAATTAATTTTGATGTTAATATAACTAGTACACAGTTGTTATATGTCACTGTGCCTTGAAGCAGTACATGCCAGGTCTATTATCTATGTTTTCATTGAGGTCGCAACCTTCGTATTTTTCTACTGGGGATTTATTGCTCATAATATAATGACGTAATTTGAGTGTACTTCCTTTAATGCTGATATGTCTTCCCAAGGTAATAGCATTGTTCTTGAATGGTTCAGGTTTTGTTAAATCTTTTGAAATTGACTGTATGATTGATCTGATCTGTGCTTTCAGATTGAGTGTATTATATAAGTCATATTTATCTATGTACTGTTGTATCAATGATTTGAGGTGTTGGAACTATTATGGTTCTTTTATTTTATTTATTTTGTTGTGTAGTACCCCTACTTGGTGCTATTCAAGTGCTTTGATGCAATAGGTGTTGAGTATTTGTTCGACCCAGATTATGTTGTACAGTATATCCCGAGGCCTTTTCTGATTTTGTTATAAATTATTGTATTTATGACATTGTCAATATATGTCAATTCTATTATGTGGGCACTTCTTTTAGTGTGTTAGTATATAGAAATTTTTTGTGTTTGAATTTCTCTAAGAAAGTCTTGTAAGAAGTTTGTCCCAGAGGTATGGATTTTTGGGCATTGTTTGAAGATATCTTGACTTTGCCATGCTGACCATTGCAATTGTTGTGTTTGTAGCCTTACTATTTGACCTGCTATATTATTGCTGGTATAAAGTTCTTGTATATTGCTACAGTGCTTTTGTGTCTGACAGGTATGCATTTCTATAATGTTATATAAAGTACTATTGTATATCATTGATTTCGAAACAAATGATACCAATTGGACTCTTCTTCTAAAACTGGACCAGATCTTCCTATCTATCCAGTTGGTTTTATGTTTTGAGAGAACCAAGTCCATTAGCAGATATTCAATATATGAAAAGAGGATGTGGTTCAGGATATATGCATGTATTTTGTCTGTGATATTGTTTATCATGCATGTTTTCTTTTTTATAAGACCTCTTTAATACTTTTTCCCTTTTTGATACTTGTGCCAAACTCTGAGGACTCAGATAGCTTGTGTTTTGGATACTAGAAAGACTGTTTGTCCTTGAAAAACTAGGTTCTCTTATAGTATATTGAGTATCATTAGTTCTGACTTGGATGGGTTGACTGTGATTTCATTGAAATGATAAAAGGAGGAATAGATGACTGTAATATCCTCAAGTTGTTCACAGTTCTAAGTAATGATTGTGGTGTCATTCATGTATGCTGTTATGGAAATGTTGATTTTGTTTAGGTTGTCATTGTCAAGAATTGGTTTTTGGCATTCTATTTGGTAATCTTTCATTTTGCTTATTGTAGTGATGAGGTGTCATAGTAGATGTATCAAAGAAGGAGAAATATTATGTCTTCTTGATCTATACCTTCCTTCACTTTGTATGAGTCAATAAGCCTGAAAAATATGAATGACTTTGTTGGATTTGTTGTTGAAGCAGTCTGTGATAATGTTAATTAATTTGTCAGGTACTTTAA